GCAAGCACTATGTTTGCACTAATTTTTTACACTCTATTTTCCCTTTCCCTTCTTCCCTGGCTTGATTTGTTAAGTAGCGTCCAGCCAAGAGGGAAGAGGAATTAGCGATGTTTGAACTTTTCCATTTTGAGACAGTCTGAAGCTCAGCTGGTCCTCTCCACCCTACCCACCTCTCCCCTTCCCCAGCTGACCTAGCATAAGGAAGCAGACACACACCTTCAGCCTTTATGCTGCTAAGAGCTTGGGGCTAATGCTATATACATGCAATATCCTAAATGCTAGAGCTGAGCTGCCAGAGAATAAACTACCTTGATTGAAGAATGGGCTCATTAAGGTAAGAAAGTGACAGTTTTGAGCAAGCTCCCTTTGCAGTTTCTAAATGCATCTGCTCTGATGGGATTAAAGATGCATTCCAACGGATAGGAAAGAATGGCCTTAATGTCTTATTGCTTAATGAGGTAGCCAGAGGCAGATCTGACACGACAGGCAGTACACTTCCAGGGGATTTTTTTTTTTTTTTTTGTAATCATTGCACAGGTATTTATTATACATGCCTACCAGGTGGCAAAAACCCAATGCATATCCAGTGCAATAATGCTGGCAACCAGTCAGAGAGCACCAGTTTTTACATCCTTAACCATTTGGGGTGAAATTAATCCCTGTTAAATCCCTAAAACCTAAGTAATCAGGCTTTAGAGTAAACACGCACAAGTCTCTGTATCTATTAAAAAGAATTTGCTAGCGATTGGCAGTTCAGCACTGCTAATAACAGACCAAATCCTGAAGAAGTCCCTGAACAAGTGCCACACCAAAACACTCACAGATGGACACAGAGAGCCAGCATTGATCCCACAGCTCTTCAACATGTTATAGAGAGTAACTGGCTCCCCAGTAAGCAATCCCCCATTGCCAGGGAAGATCTATGTCTGACAAAGCCATGGTTGCCAAATAGTCTAAGATAGATCCTGATGGAGGATCTACCCCATCTTTAAAAAGCCTTAAAAAGGTCTTGCCTCTCTCAAATCCTGAGCGGTGGTGGAAGCCTTAATTGTAGGCTTCCACCTACTATCGTTTCCAGTGTGTCTATCCTTCTCTACATGCTCCATCTTGTAGCTCTCATTGCCTTTGGCCTCATATTTCACAGATTCACTACTGGTTTCAGTTGCCCGAATTTACCCATCTCCCATTGCCCATATATGTATTTTTTAGAGCAGAAGTTCTTTAAAGAGCTCTCAAGTTGGACCCTTAAAACAGAAAAGCTGAAAATGCCTTTGAGCACGGGGCTTTTGGAAACCGACTGCTAGGAATGAAGACTATAGGCTGCCCATTTCATATCTCCTCAAATCAAAATGCAAATCTGTTACATATGCAGTTTGGATGTGCGATTTATACACTGTATGCAAGCAATTTAGGAAAGGAAAGCTACACAGAAGACAGTCAACTTGGAAATTATTCCTCTGCTTGCAAAAGCCTAATCGTGTGATCAAACGCTGTACATTGAAAGAGCCGGGAGCTCACAAGTACTGACATAATCTGTCCACACTGAGCGTTTTGCATCTAGCAAGCATCCTCACCTCAAGCTATAAGGGTCTAAATCATCTCAGGAAGATGACAGGAGCTAAGACAAGCAGAACTCCATACTTACTAGAGTCAAAGACTTCATCCTGAACTACTTGTACAGGATTTCTCACTGACACAACAATATTAAAACACCTTGATTTTTCTGTAAAGTCATCCTTCCCCCTTCCCTTTTGTATGCTTGGTGTCCCTCAACCTACTATGCTTCTCCAGTAAGGGTGAAACTTGAAAGATTACATTCTATTGTAGCCACCAAGGATCTGCTCTGCAAAGCCAATGACATTTGTATTCACGCTTAGTCCAGCCGTGTTTAGGACAGTAGGAAGCAACGTACTTCAGTGCTTTCCCAAATCGAAACCTTAACCAATATATAGGACTGCTTAAAGCTCCGCAAACACACACTTAAATACTAGTGGTGATCTCTAAACCTGTACATCAGGACCACGAAATGAAACAAAGCTTCATTTGGTCTGAACACAGCACAGTTTAACCAATATAATAGGGGAGAAAGATTTCAGAAAGCAATCGTTCCTTCATCAGAGCAGCAGTTTGTGCTTTAGGAACAGCCTCTTCCCAAAACCCTCCCAACTCCTGTGCTCTTGCTAACGTGCTACAGAGACAACTCTCTCCTAGAGCCACCCTACAGGGGAATGAGAGGAAAACCATGGACTATGTGGGGTTTTGCAGCTCTTACAAGTTAATGTTTCGGTAGGAATTTGACTGTAGAAATTGCATAGATGAACTGCAACCGCATCATGTCTGGCTACTGGGGGCTTCACCGGAACAAATTCATTTTGTCCCAGCAGGTTGATCTCCATATTTCCTCTGGGCATGGAGAGGGTCTCCCAGGCCTGGCCACAGTGTTCAGCTTTGACCAGTGAGCAGACTAGATCATCATGTCTGCCTCTCCAGCTGTGACCCAGCAGGTCCCAGCACCCCAACCCAGGAGCATAACCCTTCAAGAACAGTGCAGCAAAGGCAGGATGGCAGCAGGGGCTGTGGCTGGAGGCACAAAGCTAGGCCACTGTTGTCTTCTGCACCTGCTTGCTTACCCCGGGAGCCCCGTGTGCCAGACACATCTGTCTGCTGCATCCAGCGCCAGGAGGTGGAGGAAACCTGCCAGCGGTACCTAGGTTGTGGTGGGGACACAGGAGAAAATAGATTGAAAGGAAGGGCAAGTGAAATTGCCCTGAGCAGGTGGAGGAGAAACAGGCAGGAGGCCAGGAAGGAGGACAGGGAGCATAGTCAGTTATTGGGCTAGGACTAAAACTCTCAGGAAACCTCAGAGTGCTCCTGCAGAAAGTGCCAAAAAAGACACTTTCCTCAATAAATTTAGTACCCCCTGTAAATAAATTTACAGGGGCAGGCACCGATTCCCCGTCAGTAAGGTCTCACATAAAAGGGGAAAGGAAAAAAAAAAACACCCCACTATTCTTAGCCCTTTTTCTAGATGAAGCAAGGAAAGGGGCTCAGATCTTTACCATCACCTGTCACTCCTCTGCTCCAAAAAAGGAAGCTTTCACTCCCATGTTTTGGGCAAGAGGCTTCTGTTTCTATCTTCTCACCTTGAAGGGACACTTCCAGCCGTGCAGCTGGTGAATTCCAATTATACTCCTAGCAAATCACCTCCCCTATCCCATCTATATGTTTTATGAATTACCAACATTGGTGCTCAAGCTCCCAGCCTACACCTGTCAGTAGGGCAGCCACAGCCTTGAGTTAAAGCGTGAAAATTTAAAGTCATTATGTTTGGCAATATTTACAAATCAATAAAAGTAATGCAACCAAGTGGCAGTTGTCTAGGGCTGAGAAGGGCTACTGAGCTGGGATGCTTTCCATCAATAACTCTGTTTGCATCTTTTATTTGCAGGAATTTAAGAGTTCATTAATCACAGAACAATTCATATTTTGAGGCAGGTAAGAGGCAGACAACTGAACTGTATTCTCTCTCCAGAAAATAGTATATGCTCACATGTTTTTGTGGGAAATGCGCATGATGGAACATTTCAGACCAGAGACCACACTGAATTAACCCACCAGCTCTACTGCAGGGCATCCCATGCAGGCTGTGGTACACCAGCCTCTGCAGATTTGAAAGTGACCTGGTTTAAAGCCAGGGATTGGCTCTGCATAGAGATCTGCCCATGATCATCCTCTGCTAGAAGGTCTGAGTCTCTGCTCCACTCCATATTTCCTACTGGACTATTCCCAGCATGAGTACAGCCTGGCAAGGGACCCACCTTGCTAAGTTCATATCTGACTTGACATTTTCAAGTCAATGCAAGTATTGGATGATTTTGCAGCTTTAACTTGAGTGGGATGATAAAACAACACTGTTTAAATTCTCTGCCACACAAACCCTTTTTACACATTTGCAGCAACATTCCCAGAGTTAGAAGGGTCACACTAAAATAATACTTGAATTTATTTTATTCACGGGTGGTCTGCTGTTACAGGTTCCTTCAGCAAGAAGTACCAGTAATATGCTGTGAGAGATTCTCTAGCACCAAATGGTAAGGGGCTTTTCATGGTAGCAAGCACAACCTCTCCTCCATCGTCCTTTCTGTAAATATGTACCTCAAGGCACTGGGCAATGGAGACAGCTTGACTCTTCCAACAAGCAGGCAACCTTCATGCAAGTTGCCTTAGTCTTCTGGATTTCAGTACCCTGTTACATAGGATAAAGTACTCTTTTGAGAAAGAGACATTGATGAAGAGAGCTACCAAAAGAAAAAGCTAAACGCGTTTGTCAATAGTATATGATTATTCTTAGATGAGGAACCCCTTGTCCAAGGGTCCTCAACAATATGAGGCTAAAAAACATTCATAGCTCTCCAATGACAGGAGACAAGGGGATTCATACCTTTTGAAATGGATTGCTTTTAACAGAACTTTTGTAAACGCAGCATATATTAGATAAGGAAAGCAATGGGAACTCAGGAAACCCTGAATAACTTTGAATAAATTTCCTTATAGAGTTATCGATGTCACTCTTTCATTTGTCTCCTACATCCTTTCTTTCCTTGTGTTTGTCCCCCTCTTCTGAGCTGGGAGCTCTTCAGAAACATCTAACAGACACTAACATGTCTATTCAACACATAACACAATGAGGTCCTAGTCTTCCCTGGCCCATAGATGTTACTGGAAGGAAACAGAAATATAGCATCCCCATTAACCATACAGGTTATTCTTGGAACTCTCAAAGATTTTTCCCAGTTTCACATAAAACCATCAAGCTGGGATTGTTCCGTTTTAAAAGCTTCAGAAATGTTTGTCTGCCAGCTTTACCCTGCCTCAATCATAAGTTATTAAATGAGATTATAAGTTTGCTTTAATCACACTTCCTTCCCCTCACCTTCTCCTTCTTACAGGGTTTCAGAAGGATGACACGTTTGCTTTATTTCTATTCAAAGGGTTAAAGTTCTTTCCTTTCCTGGAGTCAGAAGTCCAGGTAAGTACAGTCAGCCTTCTGGAAACGGTCTTCTGAGATGGGCAAAATTCTCTTGGGTCATCTCAAGTCTGCAGAAAGCAGTGCAGGCACACTGTCTAATAAGATAAGAAATATTCTCCATCTATAGTCACTGGCATTTTAACCTGAACAGATGCTAAGCATTATCCTCTGGCCAGAGCCCGTAATTGTTTTATCCTCTTTCCAAAAATATCTCCTAGTTTCCCGGCAAGCTGCCTTGAAGGCTCTGTAGATATGGCACAGGGCTGGCTTGCAACTCCTAAAAATAATCATCAGTCCTGCAATATGGTATTTTCAGACAGGCCATAGATCTGTAGAGGGACCACACTAGGATTAGGGAAACAGTATCCTAGAGGAGGAAATACTGAAGTTACTCTAAGGATATTTGGCAGCAGTGATTAGAGCAGCAGTTCTGCAAGTCTCAGTCTTGCTATCATTGCCCATCCCAAATAGTGCTCTTAAAGACTTCCTGGCAGACTGCAATCTAGTTGTAGCATTTGATTTGAGTAGATATCCAAGCACACAGCTGCTTGTGACTGTCACTACAATTACATTAGGGAGGCATCAGTCTCCCAGTCAAGCTGGAAATTTTACAGGACCAGACTATTTTGAGAGCCTTGCAATCTGGCTGTTCTTCTGGCACAGTTCAGACTTCTCCCTTCACTCCCACATGTGCTGGTGGACTTCCATGTAAGGTTTAATTCCCCCTTCAGATTTCCTGTGGTCAGAAAAACTCAGGCTTTCTGAAGCTGGAGTTGGGCTGGAGCTCAGCTGGCTACAGCCAAGCCTGGTAGATGGAGACCACTCAAGAGTCCGAGCCAGTGCCACTGTGCTTAGACTCGCCCACATCGGAAAGCCAAATTCTGTCTGAACGTCAGCACCCTTGGGCACCTATACAAGTCTGCAATACGGAAGACCGGCAGATCTTGACTTGAAAAGAGCTATGCATAGTTAAAAATGGAGACATACTCCCAAGCCAAACACAGAAGTGAGGGAGACATTTTTGTTGGATGTTTAATCCCTTTCTCCACAATATCAGTTGTAAAACAAAAAGAAAAATCATCCTCTTTTTTTTTTTTCTTTCCCTCATTTTACAATGAATTCTTCAATTCATTTAGAAAACAACAAATGAATGACTCTTTCTATGAGGAGTTAAATGCTTGCAGATCACAGAGTTCAAAGGATGTGTCACGTAAATGCTTCGGGGACAACCTACATTCCTCATCAGCATGGTAAGAACAAACCACCTGAAGGTTAGAAAATAATATTTGGAAAAAGTTGTTGCTTTTACATTTCCTTATAGTCCAACACAAAAGATCTGAAAGTTCTCCTGCATCTGACACAAACATGAATAAAGCCCGTACTAACCACAGCAGAAGAAAATGAAAGATTCTTGCCTTATTGAGAGGCAAATGCTTTGTGGCTAAATTACATTTTCAGCTCATTTGGCCAGCCAATCTCCAGAGAAACGAGCGTGTCCTCAGTGACCTAGACTTTGTCCCCCATGACCTTAATGACCTTTACTCATGCATCAGAGAGACCTTTAGTAGTCAAGCAGTACTAAGGGCTAGTGATGAAAAAACAGAAGATACAGGCAGCAGGTATAAAGAGCTGCAAACACATGCAGGGAGCTGTATTCCCTATGCATAGCACAGGTATTTCGCCAGCAGACCCACGGGCTTTCATTGCTTAATCTAAGGGTCATGAAAACGGTCCTAGTTTGTCAGAAAGTCTCACTATTTCATCAATATGTGCACTCTCATGGCAAGTGAACCAGTAGTAAGATGAACAACTTCTGTTTTGCCAGCTGCATTATAACAGAGCAACAAGAAATGAACTTACCTGGGAAGAAGAGGGAGAAAATCTCCCTCTTATATCAAGAATCTTGAGCATACAATCCAGGTCTAAGAGTCCGTAATCACGCACACATTAACTAGAATCCATCAAAAATGATTCCGGCACTCACCTGCGTTTTGCAGGCTTCCCATTTTAAGCACTTATAAGAAGTCCTTTCATTTTAAGAAAGATCGGGCTGATCTCTGATCAGACACGTTGTCTGAGCATGGAAGTCCTTTCTGTGTTCAGGGTTTCTAGGAACCGAAATGCAGGGCAACACAGAAATGCCTTGAAAAGCTCTATTTCACTGCCCAATTTCTTCCCATTAGCAACTTCTCAGCTAAGTGATGCAGCTAAAGATAGTAACTCCCACCACATTATGGAAGTGCAACTCAGTCTCGAGCACTAAGAACTTCCAAGAAAGTCCCCTTGGAGAAGCCATAAAGTGAATAAACCACGGATGAGAAAGGGAACCCCAAAGAGGTGCAGTGGTAACAGAGACACTTTAAAGCAGATATTATCTGCGTCTTCACAATCCACTTCTGTACAGCTCTTGACTTTTCTCTCCATAGTATGAAGGACTGGATCATCTTTAATGAACAGAACCTCCCAAGGTTCTCTGCAACTGGAAAGAGGAAAGGAAGAATAAACTGCACTTCCTGATTTTGCAGAGAGGTCACCGAGACACCAAGGGCCTATCACCAACAGTATTACTGCATAACATGGGAGGAACAGAGCTAGATCCAGAACAGCATAAAGATATAACCAGCACTGTGTTATATTATTAGCAGTAAATAAATGCCCTAGCTGACCTTTGATGCTTGCAGGACCTCAATTATTTCCTCGCCTGGCTCTGTGCTCTGCCACACGAATGTACCAGCTGGGCTCTGCACACAGTGCTGCAACAAAGGGTGAGACACCCTCAAGAAACAGTCATAAAGCACACCTCACATACAAGGTAATGAAGCAGAATCACAGCTGCAGAAGAACAAGAGTTTTTGTGGGCCTAAGAAACAACAGCTGGACCATATCAACCAATCTAGCCATAATAATAGTTTGCTGCCCCTTTTCTCTAAGCCACTTTCTCAAACCTCTTGCACATATGGGCCCACAGAGCCCTAGGACAATGTAAGCAAGTCCCCCACTGGATAGCAGAGCTGGGCTGGCTCCAGTGCCTTCAAGGGCTCCACAGCTCTGCCCATCTTGACAGCCTGCACAGCACAAATCCGGTTATGGCATAACATGTCTTGTCCGATGTGACAAAGCAGGGGGCAATCTGATCCAAAACATTGCTCTCCGAATGAACAGGAGTCCTTTCTCATGTTAGAAAGGCCTGTGATTTGGTTATCACACCAGCTTCTTGAATCAGGCCTTTAAGGAGGCTTTTGTTGCAATCCAGTGCTTAAAAGAGCCACAGCATCAGTAACCAGCCCAGAGTGAGACCTGGATAAACGAGGGGAAAAAAAACCCACACACAAAAAAACCCAAAAAACACTAACATTAAAAATGATACACTGCAGTGAGTCACTCAATTAGCAACCTTTGTGCAATGTTTAGCTGACAGAGAAGGGCTGTCCTACCTGGTGAGTGACTTGCAATATAAAAGAACATAATAAAGTAGTGATCAATCACAGAGGCGAATAAGCAGCAGCAGTTTTGTCCAGAGCCTGAGTAAAATACACAGATAGAAGATAGCAGCTACACATCAATATGATCTGTGCTCCTGCTTCTTTCCACTTACTTAAATGAGTGCTAGAGAGCCTGAGCTGATTGTATCATGTAGTGCCTTATCTAAAGGGTGGAGAACACAGAGCATCAGAGAGCATTTCAGTTGCTCCAGACAACTCTATTATTGCCAAATCCCTACTGAAACTATTGTTTGGCTCCAGACAATTCTTTAGAAGGTGATGTGAAATGAATTGTACAAATTCCGCCTGAACAGCGACCTGGATCTACTGTGGGAAAGCCAGTACAATTTAATTTCAATCCAGGGGAGTAATCCCTATCTCTTTTCCAGAAACAGAGCCTGTCCTTTTTTCTACCTTTGGGTGTTTTTTCCCATCCCAAAGTTCATCGTTCCCTCAATTGTGACGAAGCGTGGTGTTCACCATGCAGAGTCTTTTTCAGGGAAAAGTTCAGGGATCCAGTTAGAGCCCAGCTTCCTTCCCTCCCCTCCCAAGCTGTGCTAGTGGGTTAACTGTGTGGTCAACAGCAGGGGCAAACAAGAGTTAGTTGTTAAGTAAAGATAAGAACTTTAAAGCCGGTGTTGCCACCACAGAAAAATCTCTGTACCCATCTCTGCTGGGAAGGGACTCTGCTTTCGGCTACTTTGGCTGTTGCAAAGTGGATTTGAAAGATGCGATCAAAAGAGAATTTAGAGAGGCAGAATCCGGTAATTGTGGCTATTAGCAAGCATGGTAGGTGAAGCACAGTTAAGAAGTCAACATCTATAGACTCCCTGCAAAGGAAGCTGTTTAGTCAAGGAAGACAAGCTAATTGTGTGTACTGAAGTAGCACATGGGTATCAAACATTATTGAAGGCTGGAAAAGTTAGAGCATTGTGCCTATCTGTATACGAGAAGTCTGACCAGGACCCTCCCCATCACACCTCCAGAGTCCCATCCCCCCTTCCCTCTCTGACCAAATGAACATGGCATGCCCAGAAGCTGTGCTCCTGGCTGCTCTGCAGACAGCCTCCCCGCATTCCCAAGTCCTGTGGGTGAGGAGCAGCAGGCAAGGAAGGAAGGAAGCAAAGCAGAAGGTCCGTTTCTAGTATCAGTCTCGTATTCCCATCCCACACAGGGAATCAGTCATCTCACCCACAGTGCCCAGTCGATTTCCCAGAGACAAGTCCTGGGGATGGCACAAATTTCTTCCAGGCAAGGAAGAAGCCCTGCAATTTTCAGAAGTACTAAAAAGAAATATACTTGATTCTAACATACGAGATAGCCTGATGAAGTTGTCCTGCAGCAGTGCAAGGGGCCCGCAAGGACACGATGAGGCAGCTTGCTTCAGCTAACATCTGCTTACAGATGTAAGGGCCCTCCTGAGGAAGGGCCAAGCTCCTTTTCCTCAGCTGCACTGAGCTCTTAACTCCATCGAAGGTTCAAGAGAACAGAGGAGGAACACTGATAGGCACCATAACCAGTGATCAACTGTCCAATCTTCATACAGAATGGAGCCCACTAGTGTTTTTTCCATCCCTGCCAATAACTTCCTAGGATTTCACCAGGTCATTATGGACTCTCAGGACCGACCGATGTTTCTCTGCATGTCCATATGTTAAACATGTTTGGATTTCCAAATTTGGCAATGTCTTTAGTTTTCCTGGAATGGGTTTTCATGACTCTTCATTTAGAAAGCTGCAACACACTCAGTGGGTTTAATCCCAAATTACCAGTTTGCATTTTAAGACTGAATTTCATTTAAAGAGACTATTTTTTTTAATTAGTAATGAAAAACGTGTCGTGGTATTACCAAGTTTACTCATTCAAAAAAAAAAAAAGTGGGGGGAAGGGGAAGAAGAACAATGCAATACTTAAGGTTACTTTTTCAAGCAAGGTATCACAATTACACAAGTGATCTTCCTTAGTAGTCCTACCCCTCAGGGCTCAGTATAGTCCCAGCACAGGAGCATACTGTCCAGTTGCTTGGACAACAAGCACAACAATTCGTAGGACTGTGCATTACTGACCCCAATAATGTCAAAGGCTGAAAATTACCTCAGAGGCAGCCAGGTATAGTTTGTCCTCAAAGACAAGCATTGAATCAACCAAGCGTGCTGAAAAACAGGCCAGACCAACGGCGGAGACCACAATTAGCCTGGACAACCTGTTCTAGCACTTCAACACACTGGAATACTGGGATAAGCTCTCCAATGCTAGCTAATCCTTCCTCGCCATGGTTCAAATTGTAAGTTTTTGTTTTATGTACAAAGACAAAAAGAAAGTCAATTATTCTTCTCCTCTTTGCAGGCCCTCTCAAATTTAAAAAAAAAAAAAAAAACCACACACACACACACAATTTGTTCCATCTTTCTTTGCAAACTAGGCTTTCTAGGTCTCCAGTCATGCATAGTGCTTTCTGCCAAACCTCTGTCGACCTGCACTTTCCTTAGACTGTGGTCCACATTTTACCTATGCCAACCGTAACAGAAGATCGCCCAGCATCTCAAAACAGGATGCTGAAATTGCCGCTTATAGTAACACTTCCAGGCATTGATTGCTACAGTTTATGTTTTATTTGCCGGGTGTCTGTTTCAGCTTTGTTTTTTGTGAGGGAAGGGAAGCTTTCAGACCCTTGCAAAAAGAAGGTTGGAGGGGAAACATTATAAATGGCAAAGCAATTATATTGCAGATACAAATATATCTAAATATATCTCAGCCTGTGCATGTACCAGCCCTGTTCAGCTAAGTATATTTTAGTTCTTGATCATCCAAGTAGCATCCAGACTCTCTGCATGGTTATTACTTAATGTTTCGAGCAAGGGAAAATAAAGTTTAAGTACCGAGGGCAAGGAGGCCACCTCTTAGTGTTTCTACCGCCAATGCCCAAGCAGAAACCCTGCAACTCTAACTCCTCCACTCTTCACATCAGAGATAGAGGAGTAATGATTCAGACAAAGAGCCCAAATAGACTAGGTCTGGACAGAAGAGTGGATGTCAAAACTTAAGGGGAAGAGAAAGGCAAATGTGAAGATACTTCCTAGGCAAATTGTAGACAACAGATTTGCACAGAGGGCAAAGTAAGTGGGTCACACACAGCCAATTTTAGGAGTATGTGGGCCAGGAAACATACTGATAGGGCAAACTAGAAAGAAATAGGGCGGTCACACATCATAGGGAGAAGTCAAAAGGAGAAAACTTTAAAGGGCAGGCACAGAAGGGCTTGGCACCACTTCCAAATCCCCTTTGCGTTCTGTTGCCTGGTCCTGAACAGTCCACATGCCTGATCCAGGAACAGTCCTGAATTCCAGTCTCTCCTGTCCTATGCAATGAGGAAGCGCAACTCATCTCCTTCCAGCCCCTGTCCATAGTGAGAACTTGCTTCTGTTACTGGTTATTGTAACTCAAGAACTGAGCAGCAACACAAACTTCAAAATAGCGTAGTCTGTGCGAGCAGGGAAGGTAGTAATTTTCTCACTTAAAAAGAGCATGAGCCATCTCACATGCTCCCACATTGCAGTTTTCTCAGCAGTCCTGAGCTGAGAAAAGCTGATGGCTACTTGGGAAGAGCTCTATTTGCTCAGCATTACACAGGAATTCACTTCACATGCCGAGAGCCCGTGTTGTCAAGGCACCCTCCAGCAGTGTCAGCCCATGAAATCATCATCTTTAGCTTTCTGCTCTTGAAAAAAGATTGGGGAACATACCACATAACTGGAAAGGAGAGAGGTAGCGGGGTAGGTGGATACTGCTTTGAATAGATGCAAATTCCTTTTGTAGTGGTGGTATAGTCGCATACTGCCAGTGAGCAACAGCAACACAGGAAATCTCATCTAGAAAAGAGATATGGAGTCAATGCAACACTACCCAACCCCTTTGTTCTCCTCTTATGGGTGGGTGGAGGAGGGGAGGGGGAAAGAACAGCATTTCATACCACAGGCTAGTGACTTCCAAACAAAAAAATTTAAAAAAAAACCCCACAGAACCCAAAGCCAACTTCTTTATGTTTGAAAGTTTAACTCTATAGCTTTTGTAGCTTTTTTCTGCCTTGAAAACATGCAAATATATGCCTAATGATGCTTATAAAACCTTTGCAATT